GGTGCAGCCCTGAGCCGTTCTTCTCTTTCGATCGAATGGTTTCATCTCCCATTGCTGGTCGGCTTCCGAAACCAAAGCTACTCGGGTCGATATGGATCTGGAAGCCCATTCCAGACACGTGAGGATGGAGAACTAGGGGCGGGCGGGGAAATGGACGGAAACTGGTGCTCTGCACAACCTCAGAGGCACCCTTGTCCTGCGCACTGAATTTGGAAAAAGTGCATTTCTAGACCATGGTGGCCTGTTATAACCTCCAACACTTGCCCCCGCCCCAAAAAACAACTGTTCCTAGATATTTGGTCATCCCCCAGAATTTCAGCCTGCCCCCCTTCAGAAGAACCGGTTCTCCCTGCCTCGCCCCCCCTCCACCTCTGGAGATACTTTGGCTGCTTTCCCATGTTCAGTTTAAAACTGATCCAAGCTGACCCAGACCAGCTTGGGTGGACAGAATCGCCTTTTCCCCCTTCCAGCCTCGGCCGCCCATCATCAACACCTCATCATGACATGTGTCCCCCCACACACACACACCCCACGGTCCCCTCCCCTGCACCCCCTCCCCCAAACAAGACCCTGGGAAAACCTTCCACACGCCCAGGTGTTAATCGCCTCCAGGGCCTCGCTCGTCCCGGGGTAAGCCCCCCAAAAGGAGACACGAGCCTTCGCACCTCCGCGCGCCTGCCGGGGGCCTCCCGGGGAGCCCCAGCTGGCTAGGAACAGCTGGAGAGGGGCGAGCGGGCCATTTCCCGCCCCCGCCCCCGAAATCCGACCCGAAGAAGCTGCCGGAGGACCAACCTCTGCAGCGCCCACGTTCTCCTCCCTGACGTGAACTATACTCCCTTCAGAAGGCAAAGGCGCTCTGTACATGGTCAGAGCCACGCTTTTCTTTTTTCTCTCTCTTTTTCCCCCCAGTCTTGCTCCTTGCGTGCTGGGTTAGCACAGCTCTCAGGGAGGAAGAAACTGACATTCCCACAATCAGAGGGATCAGAAGAAACAAATAAAACCAAGGAAACTAATTCGTAGGGAGCTCTGGATTAAACCAGCTGCGACGTCTATGTATTCTGGATATTTTCAGAGATTTTTAAAGCATCCTTCCGTTTTCGTTTTTGCTTCTCTCTCTCTCTCTCTCTCTCTCTCTCACACACACACACACACACACACACACACACACACACACACACACAACACACACACACAAAACACACACGGACTGACGGACGGAGTCTAGGAAAAACGCCAAATGCTGGAATTCCTTTTTCATCAAAGGGGTCATCCAGCTGTTGGTAGGAATGCATTGGTGGTTCGGTGTTAGAATTCTTGCCTGCCACGTGGGAGCTAAAGGTTCGATTCCAGGCCAATACCACTTAGCTTCTTTTGCTTTCATTGTGTTGAAATATTCCACAATCCTCGCATTCTTGCTCCCCAGTTTTCAGTACAAACGTGCGTGTTTTCTTTCTCCCCTCCTATCCGCGTCCTTCTCCAGTGGCCTAATATATTTATTATTAAGCCCATGATCCTTTTAAACTATATAGGCAGAAGGAAGGAAGGCGAATTACAGTGACTGTTGGCAGTCCAGATTCATGAGCTCAACATGTGGCCCAATTTTTGAACTATTTGCCTTCGCTCCAAATGTAATACCATCTTCATCTGGGGGAAACCTCCCGGATAACTCAAAAACTTGTTTTGCTTGTGACATTATAGGGATTTAAGAAAAGCAGTGCTCCACTTCAAAAGGAGCAGATTGTAGGGGTCTCTTTGAGGGGGGGGATAAAAATTAAAAAAAAAAATTCAGTTGCATTGGCCGGGAATCGAACCCGGGCCTCCCGCGTGGCAGGCGAGAATTCTACCACTGAACCACCAATGCAAGTACAAGCACAGCTGTTTCAGAACATCATTTTTCATAAGTGCCCCACAGTTAACATCAGTGACATTTAGGATAATTATGGGCCTCTGAAAAGATTCATTTTGGAATGTTAAAAACTAAGTTACCACATCTGCATTGGTGGTTCAGTGGTAGAATTCTCGCCTGCCACGCGGGAGGCCCGGGTTCGATTCCCGGCCAATGCAATACTGTATTTTTCTTCCCCATTAGCGGAGACCAGAGACCTCTTTTTTACATCTCACAAATTGCAACTGTGATTCCCCTCCTGCAGTGTAGCAAGAATGCCCACCCATATCTTTTGCCACCCTCTATCTGCTAGAGTGTAATCTGCCCATTCAGATTTTCCATTTTTTACTTTAGTCAATTGGAAGAGACAGAGGGAGAAAATGGGGAAAGAAATGACACCCCCCAAAATAAGCAACATCCAAGGAGAATAAATCAAAAACTCCAAAGATTTCCTTAACTTGGCATGCCCCCCCAGGAGAGGTACACTACAAAAACCAGCATGCCCAATCAGATCCCATTCATTGGGCTGCCAGACTGGGAAAGGGCTGCCCCCCCTTTTTTTTCAAAAAAAGAAACTTTCCCTTTAACACCTTTTCATCACGTGAATGATTTCCACTTTCCTGCACATTTTGTTACAGATGTTAGGTAGCCAGCTGGAAATGCCCAGTCAATAAAACCTGGGCCCAAATGCGATCTTTTAGCTTAGAGGTGAGAATTGTTTCTCAAATTCTCCCCATTCCCTCCCCCCACTCTCTTGGAGTGGGGGCCCTCTTCGCCCAAAATGGGGGCTATAAACTCATTAGGAAACTCAGCTACAATTGCCTGTCTGGTCTCAGATAATCCTGGCGGAAAGGGGGGAAAATGGTGCTGAAGCCTCAGATTGAAACAAATAATACTCACACACACACAAACACACACAAGAGATGCAAAGAGGAAGCTGTGTTCGCCTGTTCCAACAAAAACAACAAAGAGGCCTAAAGTCTAAGAAGTTTTATTTCTTAAAGGCTAAGATGTTCCATTTGCCACTCTCCATTTCAACTGATTATTCGCTTCTTCCGATGAAGGATAACAGTTGAGCAACGGGTTTGGGTGCAGGCGAGTTCTGAAATGAAACAAGATGCAGAAAATGGCATTTAATGTTCATAAGGTCTGTGGATGTAAAATTGCAAATACGGATAGAGAAAGTCGGGGAGAGATAGAGGCAAATGGCAAAATAGGTCTTTCAAGTGGCTCAGTTTGGTCAGGGTTTGGGGGATAAGAGTGAAATGAATCACATTTTGGAAATCAGAGGCTGACTATGAGAGCTGTCAGAACTAAGACAAGTTCTTTCCTTGGACTTTGGGGCCTCCTTTCTAACAAGCCCATTTGGTTCCATTTCCACACTTCTTCCTGTCTGGCTGGGAGGGTGTCCCCTCATGCCCACAGCTGGCCTGGTCCAGCTGCTCCTTTTCTGCCCTGTTGCTAAACAGGCTAAATGAACAAAAAAAGAAGTTATGGGAGTCAAGGTTCCCTTTCCCCCTCTGCTTTGGACCACCCCCATCCCTCTCCAGCTTCAGTTTTGTCAGGGGACTAATTGCAGCTGCTTCATGAAGCTGGAAATGCACTCTGTGCATGGTCAGATATGATCTACGCAGCCGTGACTAAAATGACATGACCCAGAGCTGTGTGTCAAGCCTTGCTAAGTTCTAGCTTCTGTTTTGCCCCAATATTTCCTGCCTTCTGACAAAATAGGATGCAGTTCAGGAAACTTTACGCCAAATGAAAAATGGTCAAGTTTTTAAGGCACCAGAGGACTCCCCCCACCTCTGAGGATGCTGAACATTGACTTGCATGATAGGAAGAAATCTAAAGAGCATCATCTCCCACACATGGAGATGCAGTAATAAGAAAAGTGTCTGTGGTGCAAATATTAAAGCCGAGCTTTGAAATGTTACTTTTTGGGAATGATTTTCCCAAAGTCCCCCAGACAGTGGCCATTTCCCCTCTTTTTTTTTCTGGCGTACATAGTCCAAGAAAGTAACTTTTTCAAGGGAGAGAACCCCTGCAAAGAAAAGAAACTGCCAGCCCTCCTACCACAATGCCCACGTTCTCATACACACCTGTTGTGTCATTTCAGAAATAAAGCCTTTTACTTTGCCTTACGGCGTCACGAGTGACAGAACGGAATCTAAACAGAGCATCGATGTTTAATCACAACAAATACGGCTGCTTTGAAAGTAACTTTTTCAAGGGAGAGAACCCCTGCAAAGAAAAGAAACTGCCAGCCCTCCTACCACAATGCCCACGTTCTCATACACACCTGTTGTGTCATTTCAGAAATAAAGCCTTTTACTTTGCCTTACGGCGTCACGAGTGACAGAATGGAATCTAAACAGAGCATCGATGTTTAATCACAACAAATACCGCTGCTTTGGGGCAAATGTTCAGCTCTAGCTGCCAAATAAATCAACATGATGTCTACCCTTTTGAAGAGAAATCAACACCCCTCCCAAGTTTTAAAAACTTTATTTGCAAAATCCACCAGACATGACTGGGCAGGGACCCAACCCAGCTTCTGCCCTGTTCAGAAGCTGTTTTTTTCCCCTCTTAAAATAAAATAACTTATTTACCTACTTGTTTTTGTTATTATAACCACAGGTCCATCATATCACAGAATCAAAACCAAATTGCAACGAGAAATTATATAGTATTTACCAATGCACCAGTGATGTATCCCTTAATAGCCACAAGATGGAACTTTAGACTAAAACTTCCCACACTTTGGGGCAAATGTTCAGCTCTAGCTGCCAAATAAATCAACATGATGTCTACCCTTTTGAAGAGAAATCAACACCCCTCCCAAGTTTTAAAAACTTTATTTGCAAAATCCACCAGACATGACTGGGCAGGGACCCAACCCAGCTTCTGCCCTGTTCAGAAGCTGGTTTTTTCCCCTCTTAAAATAAAATAACTTATTTACCTACTTGTTTTTGTTATTATAACCACAGGTCCATCATATCACAGAATCAAAACCAAATTGCAATGAGAAATTATATAGTATTTACCAATACTAGGGGAGTGAAATTCTAAGGCCAGAAGGGGGCAAGCGGAGCCGCGTGGGGCTTCGGCGGAGGCGATGGTGACCACGGAGGCGGCGGAGCCCGGAGAGATGCGAAAGGTACCGGCGCGCATCTCTGGGGGAGCAGGAAAGATGGGGCGCCTGGAGGGGGGGCGGATGAGAGAGATGGGGGGAAGCAGGGAGGAGGCAGGCGAGAGAAGCGGTCCCAGCGTCTCGAAGGGGCCACCCCTGGAGGGGCTACCAAGTCGGAGTGGGCAAACGGAGACAAAGGGGAGTGAAATTCTAAAATTCTAAAACGCAAGAAAAATCCTCTAACCATAAACAAGGAGAGGCAGGTAGAATCGAAACAAACAGGAGAGGCGAAAGGCTGGCCTATGAAAAGTGCATTTGTGGAGTGCAAAAATGATGATTTTTTTGGTCTATGGCGGGTGCCTTTGCGAAATGCAACGTGCTGGTGTGGGGCACACACGGGGCAGTGCCAGCCTCCGCGGGTGGGGTTCGCCCTTCGCACCCCCCCGCTCTTCAGATGCCAGCGGGACTAAAAGCCACCGACGATCCGCGCGCATCGTCTGCCCAGCCCGACTTGTTAGCCATGAAGCTCCCCCCCAGGAGATTCTCGGTGGGTGGGTTGTTTTTTCCTGAAACGGACTTGGAAAGTTTTTTTGGGGGGGCTTCAACTCCCGACTCTAGGGGAATCTGGGCATTGTAGTTGTGGAAAACCAGGATTTCCTCCGGCTTTGGGAAAGAGGTTCAGTTGGGAGAAGAGGCGCTGGAGAGGGTGTTTTTTTTGGGGGGGGGTGATGAAAGGAGGACCTCTTCTGTCGCCAGCGCTTCCCACTAGGAAACACCACCCAAAGCCGGTGGGGCAACAGCGATCCCCGGGCAGGGTGCCTTCCGTAGGTTCAGCGCAAGGCTGGGATCGCGCGCCTCAGGCGCAATCTCTTAACCCCCCCCACCCCCCCAAAAAACGTCCTTCTCTTCTTCTCTGGAACTTGGTTCAGGGGACCCTCATTGTCCGATAAACGTCACTTCAGATCTTAAAAGTGCAGATCTTAAACCTGCGCCCAAAGTCTCGGATTTTGAATAATATTTATTGGGGAGGGGGCGTCATTCGTCGGTCATCCACGCGGGCGCACAAACGCTGGCGAGCGCGCGCGCGCCCCGGACTACAACTCCCATCACCCCGGGGCAGCTGACGGTGGGTGATGAGGGGTGTAGTCTAGCTCCCCGGGAGGGGGGCCCGGCAAGAGTCGAGGACCCCGCGTGTCTGCCTGCGCGCACGTGCGCACCTACCTACACGGGGGTTCCCCTCTGGCCCGTCCGGTGCCCCCGCCGCACGGATGCGTGTGGATCCTCCGAAATCTGGGAAAGAAAGAAGAAGGACGAGGCTGATGGTTTCTCTGGACTTGGGAGCCTCCATCCCACACCCAGGGGCACAAAACCCCCTCGAGAAGGTGGTCTCTCCCCAAGGAAATCGGAGGCGATAGCCCAAGATGGTCTGGCCGGGGTGGGAGAGGGAGGTTGAGGATGATGAGGGGTCGGTTTGCCGGGGGATGCGGGCGAGCCGGGCTGTGCAATCGTAGGCAAAAGTGAGCCCTCGCCGGGGCCGTCTCAAGAGACTTTGCTGCCTGAGGCGCAGCAGCGAACGGCGCCCCCTCTCGGCGAGAGGCAGAAATCAAGAGGCAAAAAAAAAGTGGTACTGTTAGAAACAGCCGGTTTATTTTGACACAGGAAAGGCAGAAAGCTCCCCAAGCGTCTTCCCCCCCCCCGCAGTAAAACAAACACACAAAGGGGGGGGGAGGACGACCTAAAAATTAAAAAAATCAAACGAATCATGATAGAAAAGTCCCAAAATGAGGCGCTGTCCATTCTGGTGTTCCAAATTCAGCAGCCACTGAACCCGCATCTCCATCTCTTCACATCTTTCGGGGGGAGGGAACGGAGAGGGGTGGGATCCAGACCCTTTTGCAAGAGAGATCTGTGTGTTGAGGCGGTAAAAGCGGGATGGCGCTGAGCCGAGGAAAATCACATTTGTCGTGATTCTCTTACGTTAGGTTTCTTCTTGGGGGGGGGATCAGTATATTTTCATATTTTATTCCCCTCTCCTCACCCTGTAATTCTTCAAAGGCCTCTTTGAGTTGCAGAAAGGTAAGTTTCAAGAAAGCTGGCTTTACAAGGACCAGGTTTTTCCCCCCTGGTCCCTTGCTTTTGATTCAGTTCCCATTTATTTGTGGAAAGGGCTTTTCTTTCCCTGCACTGCAGGGGTCCAGCAAATTGGGAGGGGGGCCGTGAGGGAGTAGCAGGAGTTGCTTTTGGAAAGAATATGCACCAGGAAGATAAACTCCACCCAACAGGGGTCCAGCAAATTGGGAGGGGGGCCGGGAGGGAGTAGCAGGAGTTACTTTTGGAAAGAATATGCACCAGAAAGATAAACTCCATCCGTCAGGACATCATTAAAAGCATAACACAAAAAGCTAACAATGTTAAATTACTCAAATATCCTTTTTAAAAAAGGAACAAAATGGACATATTTAAAATGTTAGGTAAAGGTGTTAGGTCTTTCTTTCTTTCTTTCTCCTTAAAAAAGAATGAAGGTGTCAGGACATCATTAAAAGCATAACACAAAAAGCTAACAATGTTAAATTACTCAAATATCCTTTTTAAAAAAGGAACAAAATGGACATATTTAAAATGTTAGGTAAAGGTGTTAGGTCATTCTTTCCCCTCCTGAAAGCGTCCGTGTTCCAGGTGTGGGAAGGGTGGAACTCTCCTTCTGATGATATATTTTGGATGCTCCACAACCTGGACCCTTCCGATGGCTGGACTACAAATCCCATCATGCTCAGAGCAAGCAGGTAGCTGTGTTGATGGGAGATGTAGTCCAAACCATCTAGAGAGGCAGGTTGGGGGAAGGGACATTGGTTTCACAACCGTCGACACCACCACTAGAATTATTTTAGGAGTCGAGTCCGTACTTCCAGATTTAAAAACTGGACATTAAACCACACAGTCCTTGTACAAAATCAAAAAACAAGGCTGGGCAATACATTTCGTGGAGCATTAAAACTGGAAAAATCTTTGAATTTTTTAAAAAAGGAAAAACAACCCAACCCCCCAGAGCTCCGAGTGTCCTTTGCTCAAATAAACTCCCGGCGGCCAATGGAAAGGGCCCCCCCCCCGTGCTTCTCAATCTTGATCCCATCAAGTGTTTTGGACTTCCACTCCCAGAATCCCTTGCCATTGCGCAGGCTTCTGGGATCTGAAGTATCCAGAGCGTCAAAGGTGGGGAAGTGGGCTGTGCAGGGCTGAACCCTAAGTCCAGGATCTACGCTGTGGTTGTCTATGCCGGTAGAAGTGCAACAGCCTAAATTATACCAGCAAATTGCTGGTAGTTAACAAATCACCTTGTTGTGTTCCTCGTCATGCACTAAGTCACACAACTGAATACGAATAGCGACTTGTTAATTAGCAGCAATTTGCCTCTCTGCTTTCGGCCACTGTAATTCTGTGGGCATAAATAACAACAGCCTTCGGTCCAAAGAGATTGTAAATGCATTGATCCATAACAGAGAAAAATAGGGTCAGAATGGTATGCGTGTGTGTCTTTCTGTGGGCATAAATAACAACAGCCTTCGGGCCAAATAGACTGTAAATGCATTGATCCATAACAGGGAAAAATAGGGTCAGAATGGAATGCGTGTTTCGATCGATCGATCGATCGATCGATCGATCGATCGATCGATCGATCGATCGATCGATCGATCGATCGATCGATCGATCGATCGATCGATCGATCGATCGATCGATCGATCGATCGATCGATCGATCGATCGATCGATCGATCGATCGATCGATCGATCGATCGATCGATCGATCGATCGATCGATCGATTATGAAAAGAGATGGGCACGAATCGGTTCATCCCAGTTCGTAAAAGTGGCATGACAGATGTTGCTGCTCCCCTTCCCCACCTCCTCAGCCGATCAGCCCCTCACCATGCCCAGCTTGTTTGCTTTTCCCACCTCCTTGGCTAATCTCCCAGTCACGAGCAAGAGCACAGATTTCTCCGCTCCGCCTTTTTGTCCGAGTGGCAGATCAGCCGAGAGAGGGCGGGGCAGAGCAGTCTGAGCTCTTGCCGGGACTGGAAGATCCATTGAGGAGGAGCAAGAAGCGGGCGCACTGGACCCGGTGAGTCACTGACCGAGCCAGAGAAGGCTAGAATCAGTACCTGTGCGGCCCCCTTGACAAACTGGGACAAACTGGGACTGATTTGTTTGTGCCCATCTCTAATGATGAACTATATCTATTAAACTTCGGGTTTGCACTGTCTATGCCTATTGATATGCAGCTCTTTTTAAATAGCCATGGTGGGAAAATGTTGACTATCCAGATGTTTTTGACTTCAACTCCCAGAATCCCCATCTAGCCGAGTCACTGGGAGTTGCAGTCCAGCCAAAAATAAATGTTCCCATGCTCTGATGTGTATGCATATGTACACCAAGCTATGCATCCTCGCCGGAGTAGCTGCCTACCCCATCCAGGGGTCAACCCCTGCTTGTGTGTCTATCCAGATGCTGAAGCCCCTGGTGGAGAAGCGTCGCCGCGACCGCATCAATAGAAGCCTGGAGGAGTTGCGCCTGCTCCTCCTTCAAAGGACCCACTGCCAGGTCAGTGAGTGGGGCCCCCTGTAGCTCGCCGTTTCTCCCATAACCCCGGGACTAACCCATCCACAGCAAATCTGTGACAGGACTTCCCACTAAGAACATCGTCACTCCCCTTTTCGATCCTGTCAGATTGCACCCTGAATTAACACAGTGGCATGGTCACATTCTAGGATCGATGAGCTTGAACCCCCTACATCCGTGGTCCCCAATCTTGTGCCTCCAGATTGTTCTTGGACTACACCTCCCAGAAGCCTTCACCACCACCTCTGCTGGCCAGGATTTCTGGGAGTTGAAGTCCAAGAACATCTGGAGGCCCAAGGTTGGGGACCACTGCCCTACATGGTATTGAACCCCCCTACAGGTGCATTGAAGTGGATGGTGCGCTCATGTCCTTTAACTGCCAGCAGGTGGAGCTATCGCTCTACATGACTCTGCCCTAAAGGAATTCCTTCAATGACATTCTCAGCTGGTATTCTTAAAAAGCCTTGGACACTGGATCAGGTATTCTCTATTCTTAGTCCTGTCTTGTCCAACCTTTGGCAGATATTATCCACGGACGAGCTTAGCACTCGGCACTAACTGGTGACACAGATAGGTTCGCAGACTGGGGTGGGCGTGCAGGAACCTCACCCAGTTCCAAAGTTGACTCAAATCCCAAGAGTGACTGGGGGACGATTAAATGATGCCTCCACGTGGACCAAACAGTGATCATAATGCAGGTGTAGGCTTCTGAGTCACACAGAACCCATCCTCAGTCTAGATATAAAGGAGGGGAGGAGGAGGGGAGGGGTGTTAGCTAGATTTTTCTCAAAATGCTCCGAGACCTTCAGCAGGACCTAAAATGAACGCCGCAGAGGTTCTGCCCTCTCTCTGCCCCTCATTTCTAAGCTGAAGGAGGTGGAGATTCCATTCCTGCTGCTGGAGACATGGTGGACGTCAACCACAGCACCCTTCAGCCTGCTTAAGTCTGATCCTTGTGTTGGAATCATCCTCTTATCCGAATCGGCACAAGCGGCGGCTTCGCTGTGCACCCGCCTGCCAAAGCCCAGCCAAGCTTCACTGGACCCCTCGTCCTTCAAAGCCAAGCCAAAGTCTTGTTTTGGACAAACCCCAGGGTTCTGACTACACTAGCTGGTGCCTTCTGGGTATTGTAGTCCTTTCCCAAAGCTGTTCTGCCCCAACTGTCCAGCAAACGGGGGCTTCGAGAGATCCCGCTCAGGGCCCACCGTCCACCGCCAGCTAGTACAACTGCCAGGCTTCCCCGTGCTTTGCAACCATCGCCCTGTCCCTTCCCTGCAAAATCTTTTCTTCAGCCACCTTCTTGGGCCTCTTGTTTTACAGACCCTGAAGAATCCCAAAGTGGAGAAGGCAGAGATTCTGGAGGCTGCTGTAGGATATCTGCGG